AATGTATTGATTTCAAGTGCTGGGAACCACATAGTGTGATAAATGTGATGTTGGATCGTTCAATAATAACAATAATAGCAGTATATAATACTGAGATATTTACAAACCTCCGGACCGCAGGTGTATGCGGTGGGAAACGAACGCGCGCTATTGTCCTCACCGGGGAGTAGCGCACTTCACCACCACACCATCCGGGTCCTTCGTTTTGCCTGTCTCTCAGCTAGTTTTGTTGATCTTTTGCCATCAGCAATCACCCGTCAACGGGATTGATCTGGGGAGCCCAAATCGGCATTAAACCCAGTTAAGCTGAGGCTTAGTTATAATCACAATCTTAACCCTTTTATTTATTAGCTAGATCTGAAGTGCTCTACTCCTCGGTAAGGACAATAGCGCGCGTTCGTTCCCCACCACATACACCTGCGGTCCGGAGTTTTGCAAATATCTCAGCATTATATACGAGTTATATTTCGCAACATACCCTGCCATTAAATAGAAAAAGGCAGCAAATAAAAGGGTTAAGATAATAATAGTAGTGATAACAATAATGATAATAACCACAATGGTGCTAAAATATTTGCAAAACTTCGGACTGTGAGTGTCTGCGATGGGGAACGAATACACTGCTACCCTTTCCGGAGTCTAACGCCTTCAATACCACACCATGCGTGTCCTTCTTTTCGCTTTTCTCTCAACTTGCTTTCTATCTTCCAGTGCCATCAGCAATCATCCGATGGTGTTGATCTGGGGAACCTAAATCGACAATGAATTCAGTTAAGCTGAGACTGTAGTCGAAATCACAATGTTAAATTTTTATTTACTACCTATTACAATTTTTCACAGCAGGGTATTATGCGTGATACAACCACAATGATGCTGAGATTTGTGCAAAACTCCGTGCCTGCGGCGGGTGTGGTGGTTAATTGCGTTAGCCTCCAGAAAGGGTAATAGCACATTCGCTTCCCACTGTATACACCTACTGTCCGGAGTTTCGCCAACATCTCAACAACATTGTGGTTAAAAATGAGATTATTCGTTACGGCTCGGTGAACTCCATCGGCTACGCACTACTTCGGTTTCATCCAGTTCCCCAGACTGCTATAAATGTACAGCATGTTAGGGAGAAAATCGTGTAGAATGTTCGCAGTTTTAATCGCAACTGCTTTCGTATTAAGTGTAAGTCCCTTAACAAGACGATATTGTGAAAGATGTTGTTCGCAGCAACGAACAAATTACTATAAAATCTGGGTGATCAGCGCATGCCGATGAATCACAGAACACAACATGACTCAGTACTGTTAGTTGCATGGGATTTTGTTATTCAAGCGCACTTCGGTCGGCAACCTCAACTGAGGAGATATGAAGAATTTCCTTGTCATTGAGAGCTACTGAAAAGTTAGGAACGAACATATAATACACTGAATATGTGATTGAGAAAGGTGCAAATTATACTTGAGCGCTTTGAAAAGATATAACGAAAATATAGAGTTGAAGTTCACTATATTCTAAGTATACAAACATTTATGAGCTGCAAATAAATTTGGATCCTAGTTCCTAGTCTGAAAAATAATAATTCCCGCCACTCATAAATGCGAAAGTAATTAATTTAAAGTACCATCTCGCTGTAAAATCACTTCGGCGTTCTGCCAAGAGTGGTGGAAGCTTTCTAATGCCCGACAGAATTTGAACCTATCATGCAAATATTAGATTTCATGGTGTGACACATTTTCCACGAAAACAATTCAAATTCTGTGCGCGCAGTAGTATAAGCAGAAGCACTGTTCTAGGTAGGGTTTAGAGCAAAGGCGTTGTGGCACTGTTGGACAAGAGGGCTGAATGTTAGACTTCCTCCTCAACATCGCACGCGAGTTAGTTGGACATGCTATGAGGCTAGATGTGAACATGATACCACAATGCATGTACATTAGCAGCTATCAAGTCACAACATGTTAATAATACTTATAGAAAACCCCAAATGTGCATAATTCTAAGTATGAGATAAATATTCACACTTTTAATGCTTTACTAGCCTGGCATCAAACTAGTTTCATGGTGGCAAATCTCCCACTGATCCACAACGACGGAGACTGCATGTGGTGGCGCCGCCTTGGAGCACGCTTTGGCCAGGCTAACCTTGGGACTGCACCAGCTACACCAGCAAAAACTCTAAAGAGGTGGAAATCATGCTGGGGACCGCACAACCAGTGAGGACGGCCTATCCGAGTATCCGAGTATTCGAGTTCATGTCGAAAGTGAACGTTCTCTGGTTATGAACATGTACGAAGTTTATTACCTCTGCGGGCGGTAATCGTTAAGAAGGGCAACCAAATCAAGATGTATTAAAGTCTATAATATATGTACGAAAATTGTTCATCTGGGAAACTAACCAGTAATTCACGGAGGAGTGCAATGCTGGAAAATTTATGTTTAATTCCGGGTACAGCCACTGGTCGCTCTTACTACATGGGTCAACTGGGTAGTCCGTCCAACCATGAGTTGATGAATCTGTAGCTTTTCTGTTCTCGAAGAGTCGAGGACTGTCTCAGCTTTTCATTAGTGTTTCAAGGTTAATCGGCATTCGGCCTTCATTTTCTGTTTTAGCCACTGGTTGCGCACATACTGCACGTCGGCTGATCTCTCCACTATTCCTACATCGATAAATCGATGACAGCTTCGTTTTCGAATAGTACATTTGTCTTCCTCTGCTAATGCTCCTAATTAATTCGCATTCCTTTCTTTCTTTTATATTAACGGATGATACACCTCACTAAGAGTGATGATTAACTTTCCGAATTTTTTTCCTTGTCGTCGTTTTAACTATAAATTAGCAATATTATTGCATTATTTAGAGGTAAGTCTCTTCATAAGTCAGCTTGCTAACTATTTAGTTGGCCGTCTTCGTGAATACCAACTGGCAACTCATTGAGGGTAAAAGACTGGCCGAGATTAAGTCAAGCAAGGAGCTGAGTAATGCCGTGGTTGTAGCACATGAGCCCCGGAAAGCATGATTATGGGTTGAAGTCGGGTCAGAAGTCTAAGTTTTGCAAATAACTTAGCATCAACGTTGTTGTATTTCACATAATATCCGGCCGTCAAAAATAAAAGCACTAGATAAAAAGTTAAACAATCCACGGTAATCCTAACTTTTTATTTTCTCCCTGCTACAATTTTTTTATGGAAGGGTGTCATGTGAAATAAAACGAAGATGATGCTAAGATATTTGCGAAACTCCAGACCGAAGGTGTCATCGGTGGTGAACGAACGCGCTATTACCATTTCCGGGGGTTAACGTGTTCAGCACCACACCCAGCTAAAGGGGCAATAGCGTGTTCGTTCCCTACTGCAGACACCTGCGGTCCGGAGTTTTGCAAATATCTCAGCATAACCTCGGTTGTGTTTCACATGATACCCTACCATGAAAAATTTGTAGTGCGCATAAAATAAAATGTTAAGATAGTGATTTAAACTTCAGCCTTAGCTTAACTGGTGCCAATGCCAATTTGTGCTCCCCGGATGAATCCGGTTGACGAGTGATTGTAGGATGACAATGGTAGATGGAACGCTAGCTAAGACATATGAAACGAACGACCCACATGGTGTGGTAGTGAACGCATTAGCCCTAGGAAAGCGCGTTCGTTCCCACCGCAGACACCTGCGGTCCGGAGTTTTACAAATACCTCAGCATCACGTTGGTTGTAATCCAGGGTAATAGTTACTGCCCATAATTCACCATGACGAACCTATTGGCAGTTCAAGTACTACATATTAGAGAATAAATTAAAAGGATCGATACGATACCAACGCCTCTCAAAATGACCAGTTGGACAAGCTCGGTATCTAATCCCATTCACATGGGAGATAACACAACGCTTAGTAATGTTCAACTTTTATTTGGTGCCTATCGTTTTTTCACGGCACGCCGCAAATCTAAAGAATCTATTAGAAGAGTACGAAGAAATGCTTTTTAAATCAAATCCAAAGGCACTAAAGTAAGAAAATGACTTGGGAACGTATTTGTTTATGGTAAAAAAAAAAGAATGCAGCTCTAGGCGTTGATCAATCCGTGATTGATGCGGCATGCATTCGACTTCATTAAGCATCGTTAGAGATAACTGAGTGCAGATCTGGCCTTTAAAATGACTCGCGATGGCTAGATAGATCTATCGTACCAGTGCTGCTATCCTCTCAGACAAATTTGCCCATCCCGGAGTGATAGAAGGCTTGGTGGGACTAGGGCACGGGGATCGATACCATGGGTATTGTAGGGCGCCCTTGAACACTGCTCTACACGCTCCGCTTTTCCTTAAGGTAGAAGATATAACCAACGAAGCTGAAGACTAACTAATAACTCACAACTCTGGCGAAAAGTCCCTTGAAAACTACATTAACACTCCACGAACAACATAAAACATGGCCACGCGAACAAAATCGCGTATGCATCAATCTAGAAGAGAAAAGTCCTCGCGACAAATACGAGTCGTACGATAATCAGTCACACGTCGTAAGCACAGCTTAACTTTATATTCAGCAGTTGAACCTCCACAGCCTCGAAAATGGGCGAAATCGAATATTCGGTACGAGTTCGAGTAAAAGCGTAGATAGAGGCTTTCATCGAAATTACACGTACAGTTGGCATTCAAACAATCTAGTCCGAGAAATGCAGAAAAAGAATCGAAGAATGCGTCGCCTTGGATACTTTCATGCACATCAGGGAAGGCATTCACTCGTTCCAGAGCGAAAATAGTAATTAATTAGATGTCCAAAATAATACAGACACAGAGTTCACTCAACGGCAATTCCTAGGGAGACCCACCCTTGAAACGTCACTAGAAGCAGACACGGCTAGCACCACCTTTCATCAAAGGTCAGAAAACGAAGCTGTACAGTGTGAAAGTCCAGATAACAAGCCTCCATACGCAAACTTGAAAAAAACAAACTATCTTCACACTGTAAGAAAACATTCAACTTTATCCTACACATTTAACATAAATCCAAGAAAGAACTCAGAGCATCGTGGCACAAGTGTCAGAAATCATTCCAGTCACATGAACATCACACGCTTGCTTCCACAACTTCGCCGCCTGGTCCACAATTCTCACGAACCAGACTTTCATGGCACCAACAACATAAGACAACCATGCCTTCTAATCGTCACAAATTCTCAACAACAAGTAGAAATGTGAAAAGACATCACTCAGTCATAAATCAACCAACGGAACTCTCTAGATGAAATCGATCACACGCGAAAAATTCCGTTGTAGTTGTAGCTCTCACTACATATGACCCTCGAATATTATCTTCTTCAAAACTACCAAATTCCTCAGCCTAAGCATATTCACAAATCGGGCGCTGTGTGAAGCATATTCCTTGTGAAATCCTCTTTGTCGTTCATTTTACCATGCCACTAATATTGAGTATATGTATATATTTTTCTTAGCTCTTTTTATTCCTATCACGCAATGTATTCTATTTCAAATGACTTCGACTTGTGTGCTTGCCCTACATCCATACCCATCCATATCCACCAGGCAATAAGCGATGCCTCGTAGCACGATCTTGCGGCCTTCCCTGACCCATCCAAGCACGAGTAGCGTCAGGCCACTCGACTGGTTACTGATTACACCGACCAAGTCATCTTCCCCACCTAATTTCACAAAATTTCACTATAAAGCATATCGGTTGGGAAGTCGACATGATTAACGACTAAGCTGTCGATTTGAAAAGGAAGCAAGCGTGAGACTACAGCAACATTGATGATATGGAGTGGAGAGGAGACAGAATATCACACTCCATAGCGATTTTTTCAACCCAACGATTCATTGCTTGACGCACTACTATAGAACTTTGGACATGATTCGGATAAAAGGTCACTTAGCGTTGTAGAACACGTTATAGAGAGGATAAATGTTAGGAGCATCCAGTATCATGGAAATCAGAGAAGGAACTCGGTTTACATAAACAATCAGTGATCAGAGGTGACTCTTCACAATCCGAGATGTGAAAAATTAGGTAAGCTGAAAGCGAGAGGAGTCGCAACGACAACTAAGATACAAAAGCGACTAAAAACTCGGCTTCATAAAGTGCTAAGTGTACCACCGTCAGAGCGACAGCGATTTTCACCAGGATCCTAGAAGACAACAACCATGACACTCTGATTCCGAGTCCTTTGACCGAACGACGAAGGAAGACTGCTGATGTTCATTCAAGTCGAATACTAGCTCACGTGCATCGGTCATCCATCGAATTTTGACCACAATACGCCTTCTATCAATGTCGTAGCTTACAGTAAAATTGGTCAGCAATAAAATATAAAGGGCAAAACCGCCGAAGTTGCAACGAAAAAGGAAAAAAACAAAACGAGTCCAATATAAAACACTTCATTTAAAACGATAAATTCTACATAAGTTTCTAACGAGAAAAACTTATAACGCGGAAAAAGCAGCGAGTGATACGTGTAAGACAATAGGACTTCATTTATACCCATGAAAAACAGTAAACCACTTCGAAAAAAAATTACAAAGCACACAAATTATAAATTCAAACTGAGCTCTGCTGACAGCAGAATGAGAAAAAAAACATCAAATATACATAAGAATTAAATCAAAAGAAGAATTTAAAGTAGACTGACTGTACACCAATAAAGAATGAACACAGTATTTTCCATTTACCAAACTTTACGACAAAGCACAGCGGTATTCTATGGTTAGTACGAGTCTTCCTTTTCTTCGCAGATCAAGTATCTGAAAGAAAAACTTCAATCGAACTAGTGACTGGCAAAAATTGAAACTATATGGAGATGTTGAATCACTTGAGCACAAACCGTGTTCTTCCTCAACACTTGAGGATTGCTGACGAGTAGAATTGATTGTTCCACAACGTTGAAGATCATCGCACAAACAGGTCGACTATAAAAATTGCACTTTTTAAAAACCATCGAGTAGTTCGAGTAGCTGTAATAAAATTTATTTGTCCTGCTACGCAAATAAGCTGCTCAATAGACTCCACTTCCTCGACATACACAAAAGGTGTCGAACTTTCACTACAACGCACTTCTTTTGTTATTTTTGGAAAGCTTGAAGCGGTTGGTAACTCGTATGGCGATAATATGACACGAGTTTACTCAAAAGTGGACTTCTGAAGACTTGATATCAGTGTGGAGGACTGTGCCATAGGGATGAAGTCTAGCTGTACATCGCTGTTCGACACCCAATTACACCTACCAGCTAAGATGTCACGTTAAACTATCCGGATTTTAGAATAATAGTAAAGACCAGTAGCAGATTTTGCGCACATGCTGTAGGAATGATATGTACTTTTTCGCGTAGTGGTGACAAAAACAGTGCAGAAGAAAATGAACCTGAACTAAGTAGTCCTTGATCAGTTTGATGGCCTGTCTTAGACGAATGATACGATCAAGATCGTGGACGAGGTCGCCTTTGTACCCTTGTTGAAGTGCCTGAATTTTGATTGCTAAATAGTGATGGAAATGAACCACAAGCATAAAAAAATCGCGCCCATGACGATAATATCCCTAAAGATATCGCACCACGAGAAGCATCTATATTTCCACATATGGTGTCCACCACAGCCACACCTAGAAACTGTAAAATATCTTCGTGAGTATACAGAAGTTTAAACTGCCATGTAGTGCTATATCGCTGAAATGTACCTATACAAAGGATTACGAAACATCTAGCGAAGAACAGAAAGTGGTACATGTTCGAAAGAATAATGGCAAGCGTAACGGGCCATTTAAATTGTCGAGTCTTCTTGACTGGTGATGATTTCACTATAGAAGCGAATGAAAATAAAAAAAAAAGAACCAGTGTGAGAAATGAAATGATGGTTTCCGAACTGTGAAGTTGTTCCTAGAACTCTCACTGTTCTTAACATTATTTAACATGCACAAAAATACAAGCAGTAGTTCAAAATTACTACTCACATTCCAGACGTCGGATACATCAACCTGTCTTCCACTTTGTTCCTTTTCGTTTGAAGAAGTGGCATCTACGGAACTGCCACTGTTCTGGTGTTGCGAAGGCTGCTCCTCATGAATTATTGGATTAACTTCCTGCTTCTCCTCACGTGGCTCCCCAACCTGTAAACACAAGAAGCATGTTTGGCGATACTCAACTTTTATCCACAATCTAAGTTTCGAAGTAAGCTCAACAGCCGTTTCAACACAAAAACAATACTTTGCAACGACATTGAGGAGATAGCAAATCAGAAGGAGTATGTGACACCTACTGGAAGCACACTGAATAAGATGAATTGCTTAAGAAGAACGAACATTACTGAGATACATAGTAGTGTACACAATAGATGTCTTCCGTACAATTCCTAATGAACATTTCACTGACCTTCCTCTTTCTTCTTCCACGTCGTGACGATGGCTTTCTTGCAACCACGCATGGAGTATCCAGATTCTCTCCACGAAGAATTAGCAGTGCACGAACTGCTGCCTGAAAAGGGCCAAAGTCTCAAACGAATTGTTTGGCAGCAACAAGACAAACAGCTTCAGTGCAATATAGACTACAAAGTTATTACGAAATACGTCACAATTGAATAGTTAGGATTTGAGCCTAGAAAAATACTTACACCACGTAAAGGGAGCGCTTTAGGTACATCGATCTGGCTCATGGTTGTTGTAAACCCAGAACTGAAACACACTAGAAACTAGTACGAACTTCATGTACTAAGCGAACTGTATCAACCACAAAACTTTGCTATATAGATGGAACTGGAAAAACTTAGATCATTCACTATTTGCTAATCAATCACTTCAAGAACAATAATGAATAGAGAAACCAAGGAACGAAGAGTAAAGGCAGCAAACGATTGCCTTCTGGGAAGAGCGCAGACAAGATGGAACCTGATGCAACTCGTACAGAACAGCGCCGAGATCACGAGTGAGCGGGCCGCTGAGTTCGCCAGCCGGTCGCCGTCGTGCCATCGCCGCATCGGATGTCATCCCACCTCAGGTCACTCTAGGATTCGACTTCATTGTGGCTCACTGGGACCGCAAATGAAACTGTAAGCTGGTAGTTAACAGCACTGGTATATATTCACGAAAACAACGACATAAAAGACAACGAATTAGGCGAATTAGGACATGAATGTAACTTTCGCTAGAACGAAGCTGGACGTTCTGCGCAGTAGAGCTTAGAAGTGTTCATTTATCCAGCAGAAAAGGTATTTCGATAATTCGCTGCCTTAAATGGGAGTGAACTGGCAACAGAGATTGAATCCGAAAAGAAAACATAGAAGAAACGTGCGAAGATAAGACGTATATATGGATACACGTACATATACACATATGCGCAGGTGTACATGCATATATATGTAGAATAAAAGGCGAAGAAACATAAATAAACAAATATCAAATGTACAAGAGATATAGAAAGTTTTCCAACTACAAAGTCGTCATAAGGAAGATCCTCCTAACGGTTAACCGACTCATCGTGGCTGGGAGCTGTTCCTGGGGTGGGGCTGCGATGTACAGCGAGGGATTCATCCCCTGGGAGGGTCTCCCAAGCTAAGAAGGAGTCCGGCGTTTCTATTAGGAGGCCTAGCTAAGAGTAAAACAATACCAGGATCCATCACCGTCCCGTTATCAAAGTCGCATGGTGGTAAATCTCCCTCTTATCCACGAGGGCTACGACTGCCTGTGGTGGTGAAGACCTGGGCCAGACTTAGGCCAGGCTGACCTCGAGATTTCTGGGAACTATAACGGATATGTTGGGGCTCGCACAACCAGTGAGAGCGGGCCGTTCAAGTAGCAAGTATCAAGTAAGCATCATAACGAAGATACTGGTAGGTGTTCTTATTAGAAATCCTCGATTGTTTAGCGAATGAAAAAATGACAATGGTGGAAAACTTCTGCTCTCCACACGATGTGAAACACGGTGATGACTTGAATCGTTTAGAAAGAAACACTTCAGATGTTGATTTGTATCGATTTCAGTCGAAATCACTCGGAAAAATGGGGTTAGGACAGATTGAGCAGTAATTTTCTGCCCATGGAACATTTCTGCCGGTTGTAGAAAAGTGACGAAGGGTACGTTGCCGTTGCGGGTGCAAGTTGCCATCGTCTGGTGTCGATTGATTCTATTTGATCTCATGGCGATACCCGGTCATAAACACTTGCCGCTATTTTCTCCGGTTTTACTGAATTGTCATTTTTTTTGCTGTGTAGAGGATCTGTATCGTTCCCACGAAAGAAGAAGGGATTTCCCACGATCCTTCACTTCATCGACAATTCGACAGCACTTGCAGGCGCGTCAGATGGATGGACTTCATCGTCGCTACAGCGGTAGTACTTGTAGTTCGCATCTATCTGGGCAGTAACAATTCAGTACAATTTTCTTTCTGCTAGATATATTCTCAAACCCTATATTGACATTTCTGGAGAAATCTGCAAACACTTTCCACTAATTCGCAGGCTTTATTTGAAATACAGAAAACAGAAAACACTGCCAAAACCTCAGCAGACAAAACTTGTTACATAAATGATCATTCGCATGATAAACAACTTTCCTTGTGCACTCACCGTTTCGTTGTCTTTAGATCCATTAGTTATTTGAAGGAGGCTAGCCTCATAGGGTCACACATAAGTTAGGATTGTGCCTTGCTCAGGTCAGAAAAAATCGCCCTGAGGAATGGCGCGGGGTTACGCGTGCGTTATTTCTGTGTGCCCTATGCGTGCCTAGTGAAGTGTTTGATTCCATTTTAAGAACGTGGAGCGGTCTACTCGTTTTGCCAACGGGTGTTCATTCCGTGACACTTTACAAGAAATTAAGTACATCGTACTGGAACTCATGCAATCACCGTCTCTACCGTTTAAGTTACACTTTACAATTTTGAATTGTACATAGACGGCTATATAAGTGATTACGAACTAGTTGGCCTTTAGAGTGTTTGGTGGTATTTCTATCATCGGTACCGACTTTCCAGAGCTGACCAAGCAACGATTTAAAGCTTTGCTTATTTCGTTGGAAATGAAGGGCACAATGAATGACCCTCATCATCGCTAGAGTGATCGCTTGAAATCCAGTAACTGGGTTGGGAAGTCAGCATCCTGGAAAAGTTCGTCTATAACTCTAGCAGCTTAGATTTATGACAGTAAGGCAAATATAGTGAAGAAGCCGAGAGAAAGACACCATTCTCGCTTTCACATCTTTGACTTTTCTGTTTTTTTTTTACTGCATCCCCTGGAATAAAATCATTCTTCGAAGAGATGAAAGTTTAGAAAAAAACGGTGATCGTCACAGTTTTTTGAGAGCTTCGGAAATGGCCAGCTGGAATTTTTTTCTTTGGATGCTTGTAGGTTTCCATGAACGCGACATGCCTCTCATTAATTGATAGTCATGTTGTTGCATTGTAATGCTTGGACTGAAACGACCAGTGTGCAGAGTTTTTCACAAGGATTATTCTAACTGGCACAATGAAAAGCACATCTATGGAAGCAAGTTGCTAAAATTGTGTAAAATGGGTTACTGTAGTTGAGGATTTCGAATCACGTTAATATTTAGCTGTTCAAGGCCTTTCCAGATTCCATAAGACGTTCTTGATCCTTGGACTTTTAAATAAGTAGTAAATAATTGAGCATTTTCAATTAAATAGTAATCAATAATTAATACTAATATTATTAATGATAGTTTGTGACAATTAATTGTTTCAATTGCAGAAATTGTGTCTGCGTTGTTTTCTGCTTCAGAAGAAGATGATTTTAGTGCTTAAAGAAGCAAAGGTGTAGAAAGCTTTTTTCTTGAATTGTAGAGTACAATGTGCTATTATTTGAAAACAGAGGTAACATTGGTGACATTTAGTGGAGGGAAATCTTTGACAAAACATTTCCAATTCAACAATTTTTATAATAAGAAGTGGTTCTCTGTATGTTTTCGCGCCGAATTCTGGAATCATGTTTCATATCCACAGATATTCCGAAAGGTGAAACCTAGTTTAGGAAAATAAAATTCCTCAATAAATTTCAACAATGTAGCACTTTGTTGGACAATCACTAACAGTGCAGTAGTGTCTATCTCACCTCTTGCGCTCTCCTCGGAATGACGCGTAACTAAAAAATCCGGTCTGCAAAGAGAGCGAACGGCTCGATCCACAGTATTTCCGCCTTCCAAGTTCATGTCGAGCATGTTAGGCGTTGCTCTCCAGCTTTCCTTTTCCACATATACTTAGACTAATCGTTTTGACATTTTTTTCTCTGAAAATCGGCTTCAATATCAACCATCATCTCATGTAGTTTCACTCCACTTTTCTTAGTTTCTTCGTCTCATCTTCCTCCTTTGCAACAAGCGTTTTGCATTCCAATCTCCTTATGGATGCAGAAATTGTTCTAGTTCGCTTATTATTCGCTAGTATTTATTGCGCTTCCACCTTGAAGACTGCCGTAACGTCATTTTTAACTCGTATTCTACTTCAGTTATTGTATTTCCATTTTAAGTTGTTAATTTTTCTGCTGAGGGATAGTTTTTGATCTTCTTCACGTGCTTTCGATGAGGAATGGAACCGAAAAGAAGTGGGGAACTTACTAGAAGTAGCGCTTTACTCGCAAGCTCACTTCTTCAGTGTAGAGAACAATTTTACAGCACCCAAGATTTGTGTTGGAACGGCATTGGGAATGTCAAAAGTGCAGTAAAAGAAATAAAAGCTCTCTGAAGCGTTGAAGTGCTGTGTACTTAACGCTGTCCGGTGCGTCTTGAAATACTCTCAGGAGGTAGTGCTTGGAGAGCTCATAATGTGGTGCATGTTGAGCAATAAGATCACCAAATATGTCTCGTGAAGGAGGATTTACGATCCTAGAGATTTAAACTATTGCAGTTGTTGTCTGTTTTAGTATTGTCTACTTCCGATTTGCCGATACGGGTAGCACAAGCCAACTAACTACTTCCACCCTACCCGTGCCAAGTAAAACTCTCATCCCTTCAAGGTCGGGAAGTGCTAGAACTCGCTAAAAAATTCCTCTGATCCGCAAAGCTGGAAATTGGCTGTGTTAAATCTTTGAGTCGCACTAACACAGTT